CCCACACACACACACACACACAAACACTAGAAAACAACAATATCGGCATATTTTAAAGTTACAATGAACAATATATTAAACGCTTTAAAATGGTCTATTGCATTACAAAATGTGTGCGATAATGAGCCCCATGCAAAGATATTCTACTCGTTTATTACGATCTCGTTTGTGTCAATGTCCACCAGGTAAGATATTAAGCGTGACTGTTCCAAAGGGAAAAAATAGAAGGATTGACAACGGTACCACTCGAAGTTATGTTTACATTAGAAACTAATAATATGAATGTCATTTTGCATTGCGATTTGATATTTTAATTTTTATTCGGGCCGTAAAATTTTAATTCATCCTTTGAAAAATGTTTCAAACAATAGCATCAAGACGGAATATTTGATGTCGTCATGTTGAATATGTCCAAATATTTCACTACTATGCATCTCAAATGTTTAAAACAATATTGACATTATCGTGATCACAAATATCAATCAGATTTTGTTTGTCGTGATTCGAAGCTTTTTAAAATTAACTAAGTGAATGTGTGATTTGAAAAGCAGCATCATCTGTTCAAGTCAGTTACTCTCATATCACAAAACTTTGTTTTTCATGGGGCTCTGACTGACATTAATATTTGCATACTTAATATAAAATAAATAATCATACGAATATATATTTTTCACATTATACATGTACAATAAATAACATTCACCTTTCATAAATTAGCATTTTTTCATCAGCATCAGAGGGATGGAATGAGAATTCAAACACTACAACAGGAACTTACAAAACCCCAAAACAGAAATACAGTTACCGGGAAACCAGGTGTTTCGAAAGAGTATCTAATCAATAATTACTTTACCACATGTAGAGCCCTGTCATGAGACCCAACCCCCTTCCTTACTGTACATGAAAAAAGTACATCCGTTTCACTAACGATGCAAGACACAGCAAACACGTTTGTTTATCGTGACAGACGCTGAAAATAAATAATGTATTTCATCCTGATTTAATCATCAAATCAGGACGTTTGGAAAAGCTACTTTTCTAATGAGATAGCAAAACAATACATGTGGTATCGATATATACCTATTTACCATCTGATGAATGCTATTCTCGTCTCGCGTCTAATTTGCTTTTGTCTCTTGACGCCTCGCATCAGCCGCGTTTATGTGAAGACTTTAGACACATATCAGGAAGTGACGACCCGAGACTTTGGCTAGCATGCACCTGTCAACACCCAGCAATAAACTAGTTCATATTTTCACTGTTCACACATTTTTCAGACAACTCACGTAATATTATATTATTTTTTTCTTTCAAACAAAATCGTAACCAAATTTAGACGCACACTGAAAGCTGACTTGCATGCACAATGGTGTTAAAATGGAAATTATTCTCTCTAAGTGAGGCGCTGATATTACTCTCGTAAAAAACCCAGATACGGTTTGGAGGTGTCACACGCATATACGTGTAAAGCACTTGTCCCTAGCGTTTGGAAAATTATTGCTCGATAAAGTGTCTGAGCAATTAGCTAAAACATATTTATATCTATTGAAAGTCATAAGATATTTTTAACGTTCAAGTAAAATTGCAGTTGAAGCCGTTACTGTGTTCAAAATTATTAATTATTGTTCAAACTTATAGCACGAAATAGGTGCTACCGAATTCCCTTTTCTCACAAACGTTGAAAGGGATATATGATCAAGACATAGTAAAGAAGTATGTCCAAGAGGTTTTTTCAACGGCATTGATTTCGCCATGTTGATGACCATTTATGATTTCCGTTGTATCTTAAGCTGTTATCATAGGCTGTTCTCGTCTGGTGTTAACATGAATGTTTTACGTTCAAAGTCAAAAGGTGTGGGTGTCTTTGTCATATTCGTAATGTTTGGTATTTCTTTAGTATTATCTGAAAAAAAAAAATGATATAGCATTGAAAGTCATTTTAATGTGAAATTAACAATTTGTTATCCTTTATGACGATCGGCCTTGAGCTATATAACATACGAAACAACAGTTCAGTTTATATTAACACTTTTATTGCCCTGGTGGTGGGGAAACACGAGTCTGTTTCAAGATATTAATCACGTATCACGAGGACGAAGCCGGAGTGAAAAAATATTGATCGAGGGGAAACAAAGAATCATGGTTCCCTACCACAAGGGCAATACATAACGTATCATCAACAGTAAATATGATCAGGTTGATGGGCAATAGTTGTTGTCCGCGTCAGGCATTTAGAACTCTGGTGTGGTGGTTTCAAGAGAGACTATGAATAAGGAACATTTCACGAGGAAAAGTCTAGTGCGTGACGGAGACACTATGCTTTAATTCTCAGTCATGTGATCAATATATTCCAATCTACAATGCAATAAGACATGCTTTTATAAAGATGAGTTATGATAAAACATGAGCTGGCATTATATTGAGACTAGAATGATTTGTGATACAGATGTTTCCAACAACAGTGAGGTAGACCATGCAGCACGTGGTTTTCCTCACACCAAAGGGAATTGAAAGAATCAACGTACTTGCATAAGACTTTTAAAAAGTATCACATAAAGTACATGTACATTTGTTAATGTACGGTGGTATGTTATTATATGATATATGATTCTGGGAAAAGAATATATGAGACAATATAATAGAGTACGTTTCAACATATATGTGATAGTACTGATGTTTGCTTGTGTAGCGATATTTACCGTAAATACCCGGATCAACAAATGTATTTTGTTACTTTTTTTTATCGATCGCATTAACCTTTATTTAAAAAAAAAAAAAGGTTTGTACTATTTCAATTTTGAAATATTTACCAAAACCACTATCAAAAGATGTTCATTTGATATCAAAACGATATGCTTTCTTCTGTGTTTACGATTAATCAGACAGCAAAACTATTGTCCTATTGTTTTGGGAAAGCACATGTTCACAAATGTCAGTTTCGTATGCTGTAAGCAACTCGGATTGTCTTCATTACAAGACTGTGTGGCATTTTGGAATCAACTGTGCCACAGACATTACCGAACAAATACAGGGTCTGATTCACTAGAGTATATGATCATGAGATAAACCACGGTTAATTATATGTTTCGCTATTGTAAATCTTGCGGGTTCCGCCGAGAGTCGTCAACTCCATTGAATATATTGGCGTCGGAACCCGTATGTGGGAGTTTCGCAGCAATACGTTACTGCGAACCAAGATCAACGAGCTGTTTCTGTTTTTTTTCATTTGAATTTCATTTACATCAAACGTATTAAACAATAAAAAGAAAGAAACCCTTGTACAACAGTTGTTACTTATTCTGGCCTCACAAGATAGAAAACATGGTAGAAATTTAAAATATTTGTAGAGAAAAGTACATTTGATAAGCCCGAAAGCTTGGAAAAGAGTGACTTTGAAGTTTCTTAACATTTGATAATGTTTTAAGTTCAAGTAAAGTCATGTAGTTAATCAGGAAAAGTATATGCACGGCAAAATATGATGTAAAATATGCTTGTATTATAGTCTGCTTAAGATTCCAGATTCTACATTAACATTTATATCGCGACAAAGCATTGTACACCTTTAACCTTTACTAAGTAGCTTTGTTTTGACTTTAGGCTTTATTCTTTTCAAATAAATATCACTAAAAGACATATTATACTACCGAAAATCCTCCATTGATAAAAACCTTGACACATAATTCATTTCTTGAAAATCTTAATTTCCTTCCTGTTAGTTGATTTTGAGATAAGTCTTCATCTTTTCATAATCATTGTTATTAATGAAGGTTAACATTGATGTAGTTGTCTGAAGGGTGTTGGCACGGATATCTTAGCGAATGCTTATCTTATATATAAAAAGTTCTTGCAGAGTTACCTTGTATTTAGTAAACTAAGTCTAACTAACACCTGTATGGATGACAGTTCCAAAGTGTGGAACTGTTTTAGAAAGGAACTACATGCTGCAGTAATTAAAGGTAGCATACATCCTTAAGTATGGTGTTGTTAGGGTTAGGGTTAGGGTTAAGTGTTTCCGTGATAAAGAATTGATTAAGAATATATGTAGACATAGCCCTTTATATATATATTTAAAAAAAAGAAGTTTTACTTTGGATTGATAAAAAAACATGTCGCAGACACGCTCATTGCATGTGCTTTGACATGGCAAATCGCCATGATAAGATGGACAAGATGAACAAAATCGTTAAAGATTAAAAGCGTAAATGTCAATATAAAGCTAGGCTTGTCCAGCCATTGTGTTTTATGACCACCAGGGATTCCAGCTTTATTTATATGGACCTGGCGAAAGGTTACATTACAGGACAAATCGAGACATTTACCATCCACAGACTGTGTTCTGATGGCGCTGTCGCCTAATATAGAGAACATACTGCGGTTATTCTGGGGAGTCCAGTCAATAAAGACGAAGTGTCGGGCATTACCTAAAGATTCTTCGTTTAGAATGGTTTATATAGAAAGACACGAACATCAGATGAAGCACTAATTGTTATTTGTATATGTGATTCGTGAGATATATAAGGCAATACACCACAATAGCCGTCAATGGAAAAACTTCAGAAATTATATTTCTGTACCATAAGGTTTGATTTTACATACATGCTTGAGAAAGGGAAACTATTGATAAGAAAGTGTATATACCACAACCTGAATATCTGTTTTGTTTTTCTTATTCAAAAGTACACATTACTCATTAGTCTGGAAGTCTCCTTACAGTTTACAGTTTAGTGTATGTGGTACATTTCTAATAGTCCATGTGTTATATACCTATGCTTGATACTTTGAAATATAACCCTCAAATTAATTTATTTAATATTTTTTATTATTATAATCCATCAAATGCTTATGTAAAATATTCGTAACTAAGAAAACAGCAATAATTTACACAATACCAACGAAATGGTACGTACTGTTTTATTTACATGTGCACAGCGAAAACAAACCAAGTGTACATTTACTAGTTGATGATATCATATTCATGTCTGATATTCTGTTTATGACAGGGAACTATGGTGCTCGTGGACTTGCGGAGTTTCACAACCTGGCAAGAAATAGCAGTGTATGTATCGCCAACACTGAAAGCGCTCCCTCACGAAAGGATCCGCATGTATTTGACGCACTGATCCGGCGCATGCTCGTTACAAAAAACGCCAGGGTTATTGTTTGCTTCTGTGAGGGCGCCACTGTCACATCCCTGTATAACGCGACCAGAAGGGTGAAGGGCGCGCAAGGTCATTTCCTAATTCTAGGAAGGTAAACGATTATGAGTTTGCTTCATGTATACTGTAGCCATTGTGTATACCTATATATATCAACCATTCGTCAATGTTCGCAATTGATAAAATGATAAGTATATACCAAATCATTTAGTCTTTTTTATAAAAAAAGTCAGCAATGTAGAAAATACAGGTCAGGGGGCAGCGGTCATAAAGTAATTTCGCTACCATTTCCATTGCTGTCGTATGCTGTAGAAAAATATAAACACGTGTTTTTTTTTTTTTTTTTATATATATATCATATTAATATCTCATCATCAAATTTATTGATAAAGAATATCGCACACAAAGGAAATATTGATTGAACTTGATATTACTTCGTTAAAATTAAGAAACTCGTACATATAGGAGAAATACCCATTATAAAGTTACGTAATGTTATACTGTGTGTAGTCCTTTTCGATTTACTGCTGGATTTAGTTTGGTTAAATTTGTACCTGCCGTTTTATGTCATACGTTTTTGTGGAGAAATCTGCGTCATCTTAATGTCCACACGATCCTGCGCTCAGCAGACTTAAAAAGGTAAAATGTAGACGTTCTAAAATGTTCTGAACCCTGTAAGAAGATAATTATCGTAAATTGGAAATGTGATGTTAGCTGTATTTATATATTAATAGTTTTCCATTGTTAGAGGATATATTCCCGAAGTTGTATTTACTGGGACTTGAAAGTATGTTTGAATTTTATTTTTTGGATAAGTTTATAGAACACAGATAGGACAACGTACTTTTGTGGAATCACACTTTTCGCTTAATTAGAAAAATGCAAATATTTGATGTAATATCTCATTTGCAGTGTTTGTAAGGCAAAGCATCAATGTATTTTCCAGGATTCCATTAAAAAAATTGTGTGAAGATTTTATGATAGTCTCACATGTTTTATTTAAATGCACTTTAAACGAGTAAAATATTGTAATGTAATTCCGTTCCACTATTATTAGATTAAATTAACCTTTCCGTTTGTTGTCAGTGACGGATGGGCAGACAGACCGGATGTTGTGGAATCCATAGAAGATGCCGCGGCTGGAGGCCTGTCAATGAAGCTCCATTCTCCTATCATCCCCGCATTTGATAAGAAATTCAAAGCTCTGAATCCGTTCCTAAATGACAGGAATCCGTGGTTCAAAGAATTTTGGCAGGAGAAGTTCAGCTGTACCATTCCAGGCGACGAAGACGCGAAAGCAGAATTCATTAACAAAACCTGTACAGGTAGATTTTTATCGTGTTCAATTATGATCAATTGATAAACAACATTTGTTGTTATTACCAGTAGGTTAATAGCCTCTATTTGACTGTCTTATACATATCTTACAAGTCAATGAATGCATATCACTAAAAACTAGAACATTTGTACACCTGGGATGTAACAGTTAAATGAAGGATGACGTCAATAGAAAGGTTTCCCTCCTCGTGTTCACTACTTTATAATGAGCTAAAAGTGCATTACTGCTTTCATATATTCTTGTAGTAATTATTGTATATATAATATGGTTCATACAATGCACTAAAAAAGATATAACATAGCACATTGATATAGTTTATTTCCAAGTGTTATGTTGTTCCAACACGTACAAAATATATAAATGCATTTAAATGAAATCATAATGTTATGGATACGGAGTAATTAAGGTTTAAGGTGTTATTATACAATTATAAGATCCGAACTCAACTTAAATTCATACAAAGTACAATAACAGATCTTGGGAGACACCGAAAGAAAGAGGAAAACATCATGAATATCCTACAAAAAGCGGGAAACGGACACAATGATCACATAGAGTATACTTAGAGTATGCGTTTCCTGAATTATTCTTTAGTATGAAATATCCGTCTTGATCTTTCCAATCAAATATGAGGAAATAAGTAGGTCACTATCAAAACAACATACAGTGAACAAGCCTTCCATCATAATAAACAAGTGATATCATGATAAGCGTTCATTACTTAAAATAAATACAGTTATATATATATACATGTATAACTTAAACTAAGCTAAACTTTCTTTGTTGTTTAGGGAGAGAGATACACCAGGACTTTGTTCAGGATTCCAAGCTAGGTTTTGTGGTAAATGCCATGTATACAATGGCTAAAGCACTCCACAACATGCACCAGGACATCTGTGGGGACTATCCCGGATTATGCCCGGAAATGATTCCCCTTGAGGGTCGCAAGTACAAGGAGTACCTTCTCAACGTTTCCATGGTTACATACAGTAATGACGACCTACACTTCGACAAAAATGGCGACCCGCCGGCGAGGTAGGCTTTGGTTGGATATAAAAATGGTTTTGATAAAAAAAAACCACTCGTGTCCATATAATCACAAATCCTTGATATCTGTTAAAATCATGACATTTTTTAAGTTCCTGTTTGATTAAGTGCATTGTGTATCTTTTAAATGGAATTAAAAGGTGTATATGTACACTAAAGCATTTATAAAGAGTTACCGTGCTTATCTTATATAGAGTGTATCGGAAGTAATTATCGTAATATCAGGCTGCACTGTTTCTCTATATAGCCCTGATGTCGATATTGTGCGACTCTTCTGTTTTTATTTTTCACGTGGTATGTATATCTTCCTTCGCAGGTACGACATCATGAACTTTCAGAAGTTTGGGGAGGGTGCAAACGTGACTTATGGTTACGTCAAAGTGGGTGAATGGAATACTGGGCACCTGGACATGAATGATTCCAAAATATATTGGCTTAATCGTTTGAGTGGGGAGGCACATACGATGTCCGTCTGTAGTCAGCCGTGCTCAATCGGAAACATAAAGGTAAAGTAAGGCAAAATGAAAGTAGGCGTGTGATATGTATTCTAAATTGCATATTAAAGCAATGTTGTCAAGGATACAAGACGGTTACAAAAACAGTGTTTAAATATTTTTCTCTTAACTGAATTTAAACTTATTTGTTTTAAAAACAAATAATCTAAGAGCAATGAAAGTACCTCTGCTACATTTTCCCCTCCGGTTTGATATGACTCCATACTCCTTTAACGTCGATTCTATTATAAACAATAATTTAAATATATCTGCTTAAGGTAATGAGCATATAGATCCGGTCCGTACAAAAACTGGACGTTTTCTCAAATACTCCTCATCTTACCAGGTCCGAACATTATTTGTAGGTCGGGACCAGATAGTGAAATGTTAAATGCATGTCTTTTACAATACAGATACTAAAGATCTTCGTCAAGTCGTTAAAAATACAATTCAAAAACATTTTTCTCATAGTTTATTCACAAAACACATGAAAACTTTATTTCCATTTCAAGTATTTCAAGATTTATGTGATGAAACCAATTACTTATGTAAATAATAATACTGTGCTATTTTGGAGTAGGTTGAAAAACTTTTGCCAAATAATAACTTTTTGTTACATAATTAAGCCCATTTGAAAACTAATAGAAAATAGTATTAGTTTTTAAAAACATATGCCCGTTCTGATGATATTAAAGCCAAATCATTCGAGGTGTAGTTGTGTGATAAATAGCTAAATAATTAAATTTCGTATTAGCCAAATTCATTAGTTTCTCGTTAACCCGCTAGTACCATTTGGTTATTTTTCCTTCCCATGGTTCAAATAGCCGTATATCTGCTAAAGTTAAAAACAATCTGTCATCAGTAAATTCTTTCACCCGCCTATTACCTTAAATTGAAACGATTGCATTGAATAAATATAGCATTTATTGTCACTGCTGCCCTTTAACGAAACAATTCAATTTTATTTATTCAAATGTCAATAGCAAGCCTTCACTAACTTTCCTAAATCGTCTAGGGATATGGTAGCGATTGCACTTTGTAACCTACTCAATTAGGCGTTGTCATCTTCCTCATTTTGGTAATATTAAATAACGGTCCAGTTTGTTACACTTTACACCCACATCAACTGACATTAACCGAATTAAACGGAAAAGAATACAGTATGACTCATGATGTCTGTCTACTTATGACACATGACAAAACATTGTGTTTAGTGAACAATGTTGATATATAAAAGTTTTCAATTTTTTCAATCCTTTTTAAAATGGTTCAGAACTGAGCAGGAGCAATTGTGAAAATTATCATCGGCCAATCTGTTTATTTTATATTGTCTAGTGGCCAAAATTCTAAAAGCGTCAACATCTAGCGAAATGCTTTGTATTTTGATGTTGCTTCTTGGTTTGCGTGAACGTCGAATGATCTCAAATAGTAATAAAAATAATAATAATAATAATAAAATAGAATACTGGAAATGTGTATTTACAGTACTCATGTTCTCCCTTTTCGTGACGTGGTAATTTGAAAATAATGGCTTCGTGCTTCCCTATTAAATCCTCGAAACTACTTTTGACTAGAACCTGCTTATCCACTTTCCTTTATAGAACATAGAGGGAAACACTCGGTGTTGCTGGACGTGCATTCCCTGCGAGGAAAATGAGTTTATGATGGATGAAGAGACGTGTAAATCGTGCAGCAAGGGATGGTGGCCTAACGAGGACCTGACAGGTAACAACCAACCCTGGCCGCCAATAATTCACTAGGTTTTGCTAGGTTTGTTCTGTTTACCGTCCTATTATAGCTAAGGTCAGTCAAGGACGTGATTAAAGCTTTTATGTACATATCGATAGATTTTTGTTTTTTACGAGATGAATCAAAAGAGAGTAGAAAAATGCCTCATGGCAATAACTATGTATCTGCTGTGGTTGTTTTCGATTTTTTTTTCAAACCTACATGAAAATATTTCTACAAACAAAAACACGAATACGAATATCTGCGAGATTTTACAGGCACTACTTGTGCTCTTCAATTTTTTCACCTCTCGATTACTTCGTTACTTATATGGCAGCAAATCGAAACTGGAACATTGCCATTCCATCAGATGGCATTTTAATCAAACATGAACCTAAGACACACACATTGGACTCCGCCTTTAAAATTTAGTAATAAATGCAGCATAAAAAACATGAATTACACAGCACCATATACCTGTTTCAGGACTCATCGGGGTACTAGGGGCCAAACGTTGGATATTTACATTTATCTTAACTGCTGTACACACAGAAGGAGAGGTACTTCAAACCCCTATATTTATCAATACCAAAAACTGGAGGAGTTCTGGTTGACAGAAGCATGTGTCGGGTAAAGCTAGCTAGGATTATGATACCACGAACAATTTTATTTCGTTGTCAACCATATTTATGTCAAGGCCTGCCGCCTAACTAATATGAATGCCACTGAAAGTGGTTCCTCCCGTTATATTATTCGTTCTAATGTCCCGGCGTTTACAGATAGACCACACTGATGGACTGTTAACGGTGGGACAAATTCCTAATGAAAGCAAATGACCCCCAGTGTGCTTCAGCAATGACAATGCATCTTATATTTCCGGCTAGCCCTTTGAGAATACTTGAAATTGATTAAAAGATACTTAATATCGATAATTCAATTTTCGTCAGCACATTTCATACCTATAATTCAATTTTCGGCTTCACATTTTCTAGCAAATCATAAACAGGGGAGTTATGTGGAGCAATTTTAGCGATCGGGAGAAATTCTAGGATATAGCCCCTGGGAGTTTCAAGATTTTGTAGGCTCAAGGTGATAAACACATCACCTACGGTAAGGATTTCAATTGGACAACCGCCAATCTAGAGAAAAACAGTTAGTTTATGATGAAGCAGGTAGTGTTTTGTGTCTATAGGCTGATCTACCACGCGTTAGAGTTGGTAGACATATAATCACTAATAACAATTTAGTAAACATTTATAGTCATTGTCTTTTCAACTCAATGTCTTGTCTCATCCACTTAGCTGAAAATGGCAACATCTACATGAAATATTGAACCACTATCAAATTTAATGTTTCCCCTGTATGATTAGTAGATCTTAATTGATAAATTTATGCATTAAATGTGGTTTTTGGTAAATCGGGAGTATATTGGGTTTCTAGTAGGAATAAACTAAATTGTTAAATCTACTTAATGCCTAACACTAGATGCCGTTTTGCAATAACAAAAATAGACTTTGGTATAGGAGGAAAGTAAAGGACCTCATTCACAACTTCAATATTCAAAAGAGGATGATTTGTTAGATTTTATTTTTGTTAGAGGCAAGGCGTTATTGTTAATCTATGTATTTATAGAAGTGATATAATGTATAGTCGGTTTTTATTGGACGGGGAGTAAAATTAATTTAAGGCAATAAGGTTTTCTAATACAAGCATACTCTCCTATAATGTCTGAATTAAAAAACAAAATGAAATTGTGTACGTTTTAAGTTATGACTGCCTTGTATTTGTTGATAAATAGAAGTAAAATCCAGCGTTCATATTGACGGATGCAAGATACAATCACCCACGGACCAAAATAAAATGAAGTACGTAGTCATTTTTGAGGTTTTTAAATTAATATGGTCTTTTTATTCACTAAACTGAAAAACTTAATCCAATAGACTTATATTTTCCATAACTCATTTTTGAATCATAAAAGTCTGCGATATTTCTCAGGTTTACATGGAAACTGAAATCGTTTGCGAGATTTCATTCTATAACTGGAAATCTGAAATAGTATACGATATTTCTCAGTAGCACTGTAAATATGAAAACAACTATGATATTTTCAATAATCAATGTAAATATGAAACGCTGTGCGAGTTTCCTCCGCACACTTTCAATTATTGAAGTAGAGCGAATATTTCTATTAGCGAAGTTTTAAATCTGCGATATTAACCGTATCAGAAACATGTGCCTATATAAAAGGTACTTTAATAACTGTTTGTTAAGTATTCGACTTTAAACATAAATCCTTGCAAATGCACGTCTTTTTAAAAAGAAAATATAAATGCTTGTATACGTTTGCAAACAAACACCACAATGATGCATTGTATATAAAGATTTCTCCCCTTTTGTCGGTGTGACAATTAACACTTACTACTGAACAAACTTACCATTACCAAACCGTGTTGAATTTGCCTCTTCTGTAAGAAAACATAAACAAAGGAAGGATTTAGCTGGAGACTTTTGAAACAGTACAAGGTGTTGTGGAAGGGTATGAAGCTGATGCTTCACTGACAACACTCGCCATAAAAATCTAGGTCAAATCCATGTAATGTCATGTCCTCATAGCGAGAACCGGGGCTGGGTTTGGTTTAATTTTGTTTAGCGTCCTATTAACAGATAAGGCCATTTAAGGACGTGTTTCAATGTGTGTAGTGTATGCGTGCTTGCGTGTGTGTATGCATGAGACAGGGTATGTTGAACCGGTGTATTGACAACGAAACAACAAAATATTCTTAAGAGCATAAACCTCCACCTTTATATCACACACAAAAATGCATATTTCCCATTATAATGGCGAACATGAAATGTGTTCGTAGTCTAGTCAACCTGCGTTTTAGGAAACCCTGTGTTGGAAGTTTGTCTGTCGAAAGTTGACATTCTAAAATGGAAATTGCGAAAGGAAACGATTGCAAACTGGTTTTGCTGAACAGAAGCTAGCTTAAAGCTTTCTTGTAGAACTTGTACCTCATGTTATAATCTTATTGATTATAATAATAATCATATTTTGAATTAATGCTATCAACCATAAAATATTGGAGACGCAACCAAGCTTATAAAATGCGGGGCCAACATGTTCCAATAGTCTGTAGACCCTCATCAATCCTTTTGTGGAGATGCTGGTGTTTATAATTAAGATGTATTACAGTGGGTTACATTTGGTGAAAAAATTATCCCAATCACCCTATATTAGACAGACTCAGCGAAAAAATAATAGTACATCATTATTAACAATTGTCTGTTTTGATGTTTAGTGTTGATGAATCGTGACACACCATGCGAGACTAATAAAGATCAATTTAACTCCTGAGATAAAAGAGTTCTCTGTTGACAAAATAGTAAAATCAGAAAACAAATGTGAGTACTTAAGAGATCAGATGTGTACTAAAAATTATGTGATCGGATCTCCGGAACGGACTTTTTGGAGATATCTCATTTTGAAAAACATGTGCATTATTACGCTTGCATAATTCTACGAGCAATTTAAGTTTAATTAATTCCGTTTGCTGGTCTTTATAGTAAATTACACTGAAAAATCAGGAAGCTTAATTCATGTTCGCCTGGCCACTTTCTTCCATCGTAAATGAAACTTCGCAAATAAAAAGGCTACTCGTTCGCCAAAGGACATCTCGAGTGATGTTCTCTGGATTGTTTGAACATGTGTGAGCATACCACTGTCATTAGTATATTGAAATGGAAGGTTGGTTCTAGATTACTCATTAACGCCGATAATTAAGATCACTCAAATAAGATGTCATAAATATTGAATAAAATTCTGAGAGTAGTTCTAATCTTGTCTGGCAAAAAAATCCCTCCAAATTGGATTCAATCTCATATTCGCATCAGATCACAACCAAAAGGCCATCATTAAGGTTTAAGAAACTAACTTTTTCTGAATTGTCATACATTCCATTATGTCAGCAAATATCATCGCAAGACATGTTGATAGGGTTAGAAAATGGCCGATTATGGCTTCCGATGTCACAGCTGTACCTGTATAGATGGCTTCCGATGTCACGGCTGTATCTGTATAGATGTATAGATTGCTTCCGATGTCACGGCTGTACCTGTATAGATGGCTTCCGATGTCACGGCTGTACCTGTATAGATTGCTTCCGATGTCACGGCTGAACCTGTATAGATGGCTTCCGGTGTCACGGCTGTATCTGTATAGATGGCTTCCGATGTCACGGCTGTACTTGTATAGATGGCTTCCGATGTCACGGCTGAACCTGTATAGATGGCTTCCGATGTCACGGCTGTACCTGTATAGATGGCTTCCGGTGTCACGGCTGAACCTGTATAGATGGCTTCCGATGTCACGGCTTTACCTGTATAGATGGCTTCCGATGTCACGGCTGAACCTGTATAGATGGCTTCCGGTGTCACGGCTGAACCTGTATAGATGGCTTCCGATGTCACGGCTGTACCTGTATAGCGTAGTCTAACACCTCTGTCAACATCGTTTTACAACAACATACACGTAACTAGTGAAATGTTTGTAAATATGTTTTCATTTTTAGGTCAGAAACTATGTCAACACGCTTGTTACATGATCTACTGAATAACCACCGTTTGTAATGATAAATTCATACCGAACTGTTTTCTTGTCTTTCCAGCCTGCAAGATGATAGAGACAGAATACCTGAGCTGGTTTGATACCGAGGCCGTTGTAGCAATATCCTTGGCATGTTTTGGGATCTTTGTAACACTTTGGATCACCGTCATATTCATCCGCCATCATAACACACCTGTAGTAAAGGCATCGACAAGAGAACTTAGTTACATAATTATGTTTGGGATAATCACAGCATTCTGTTGCAACTTCGTCCTTGTATCAAAACCCACCATCGTGTCCTGTTACTTCACCAGAATCCTGCCCGGGTTGTCTTTTTCATTGATTTATGGGGCTTTGGTGACTAAGACAAATAGAATCGCTCGGATTTTGGAAGGGACGAAAAAGATTATCACCAAAAAACCGCGGTTTATGAGTGCGTCCGCCCAAGTCATTATCACGTGTATCATTGTTGGAATAGAGTGTGCCATCATAACTGTTATGTTGATCATAGAGCCGGCTGATTCCAAACTCGACTACCCGACCAACAAACGGGTGCGACTCGTGTGCAACACCACAACTCTCGGCATCGTGGTCCCATTTGGGTTTGATCTTGTACTGATCCTGATGTGTACACTATATGCCGTGAAGACCCGTAACCTGCCAGAAAACTTTAATGAAGCGAAGTTCATAGGCTTTACCATGTATACAACCTGTGTGATATGGCTGGGATTTTTTGCCATCTATTTTGGCAGTGAAGCTCGAGTGCTTACTATGTCTGTTTCTATCAGCCTGAGCGCTTCAGTCTCACTAGTTTTGTTGTTCTTTCCGAAAATTTATGTAATCGTTTGGGCTCCTGAAAAGAATACTCGAAGCGCCTTCACCACTTCCAAAGACGTTCGATGTCATATAGGCTCCATCTCCTTCCATTCCGCGGAGAGTGTTGACATGATGAGGTAAGTCTAGTAAGGGTTCTCCTTCATCCGGGTTCTAGCGTTCGAATGGCTTTTCCACCGTCGTTGTAAAGTGTTTCATAGGTGGGTTCGGAAATGTTCGAGGGAAACGCTCACAAATCTCTTGCACTTTTTTCTGTCCAATAACTAAACATGAACTTTAAATGTCACCATGGACAAAGTCTTTGAATCACTACTGCGTTATCCTGGAACCCACTAATCAATGTTCATAAATATTCTCAATTATATTTTGTACTAGAAAAAGTATAAATAGTGTCGTGTATGACAGTTCTTGCCACATTGATGTATTTCCTGTGTTCAACTCAGAAATAGAATAGATGTAGATAAGATTTACATGACCTGGCTTTTTTTAGTGTATAATCACCATGAACAATTCTTAAGCATAAACCAAGTAGGATTATAGTAAAAATCTGTATTTATTTTTCTAGAGGGACGGGGGAAGAGGAGGTGGGGAATAACAAAATCACCAGCTAGTTTCGGAAAAACTTCATTGTACGTACTCCTCTATCCTGTAGTAATTGATTAGCTGGGTTATAAATAGCACTGTGTAGTGCTATGCGCTGTGCATGCATTTTGCACGTGTCAGATTTACCACACGCTATCGTTATAAATGCCTTAATCATTATTATTTAAGTATTTGTCTACCTTTAGATCGTATTTCTGAGCATGGTTTTTTTCCTTTTGCACATCAACAGGAGCTTTTTATTATTAAGAAGTGCTAAACCTTTTTAAAGCAAAAACCTATATAAATGTTACATAAACGAAATTTCAGTTTAAAACTATTATATATTAAAATGGCTAAAAAGCAAGGCACACAGTCCTTTTTACAATACGACCCCGATAATCTTCCATCTTTCGCATTTTCACAAGGAGACAATAGTCCTGCACATAATCAGGAAAGCTTTAATAAATTCCTCGCCAAATAGTGTCAGGCAGGGGGACCGTTGAAAGACGACCGTGACGTCAACTGGGAATAGCGCGTGTTGTTCTTGTGATGGGAGCCATACATCGTAGCGGACTGGGGACAGCTGAGGCCATATACAGGGATCAGCCGCCCCATCTCTCACTCGTAATGTAGACTCTTGTAATATCTACAGTTAATCATAACGAAACCGATCAGAGATGGATGATGGCTCCTTTGGGGCTTTGTACCATCTTGCAGGAAGGTTTTGGGGACAAATTGATGAAAACCTTGTGTAACAGGAAAATCGGCAGAAAAAGACAGATTTGATTTTGTGATTGTTTTAGATACAAACATAATTTTTAGATTATGGGATGAAATCTCCTTAAGGGGCGTCTGACATTTTGAAATATGTGACTTTTCTTGACAAAAATACATTTTTTATGTAATCGTCTTTTTGAAACAAATCGTGCGAATCTCAACGGTATGATGGTAACTGTAAGGATTACCATGAAATAAAAAGATACAAATTCGAGGGAAAAATAAGTCGATGACTGATGCGTTTCAAAACTGCCATGATAAACGACGTACCTATAACATGGGGGTTGGCACACTACAACTGTCCTTTGAGGCTCGTTATAAAAATCATCATTCGGAAATATGTTAAAATCCCACAATTGTCATGTTAGCGTCACTTTAATACAGAAATGTGTTATATTTCTAGCTAAAGCAAAACTCTAAAAGCTCCAAAATGAGTCATTCATCAGATAGCTTACTATTGTTCGTGTGTCATTACACTAAATATCATATTATTGAGATGATGGTGGGATCGATGGAATGTGTCGATTTACACCAACCAAGTACACCACGACGACGGATCAATGAAGAACTGTCAGAGTTTACCAACCAAGCTTACCCTTAAATGTAAACAACGATTAACGTCGATTTATTACGCCTCTCTCTATGGCCTTTGATATTGATTTTTAATTTACGCAGTGATAGTATCCTTAACTCGCCAATTAACGACTTGTTAGTCAGGACACCTCACCCAACCTGACAGATTGACGCCTTTGGATTGGTGATAATTCTGAGATATCTGGGAGTATCTTTTTCTCTAGTCTAGTCCTAATGGATTTCACTCGGAAACCGAATTAGTCCTGATGTATGTACAGCCTTTCGACATAATCAGTGAAAGCTAGGACCTTTCATCAATATAGGATAAACGAAGTCAGCGCCATCATTACTCATCTGGACGGTTTAGGGAAGAGAGTTCAGTTGACACTCCGAGCCCCACTCTCAATGTTAACGCAACTGACGGGAACCCCTTTCTTTATCCGTTTTCGGGAAATGTCTATTCAGTTTCACAAACTAGCTTACTTTTATTGTAATTTTGCCAACTTTCCCGTTAGATCAAAACTTGGATCCCACTTGATATATATACTAAGCCTCGTGATACGAATTCACGTGCTTCTTAATTCAGTTGTAAAGGCGATCGTTTTTTATACAAATTAAATTAAAGGTAACACAACGTCCATATCAACGTTAAGATGGATGGTCGTGTGAAAACTCAATATCATTAGACATTGTATGGCGTCCCAACTAGTAATGTCAAAAAACCTCATATGCCATATTGACGAACCACCATGTGTTGTCGTAATGGCAGTTTTATTTGTATGATTCATCACCAGTTGTAATTTTATAAACATAAAAACCAGTGTATTGTTTTGCTAGAATAAACAATAACAATGTTTGTAATCTCGGTTGGTGACCTTTATAACATTAGACCATCAGGATTTGTCGCGATGCCAGCGACCCCTGTTGGTGACCTTTGTAATGTTAGAAAGTCAGTAGCTGTCGCAACGTCAGTAACTCTTGTTTGAAACCTTTGTATTATAAGGAGGCACAGTAGCCTAGTGGTAGGACGCCGGGCTCGTGACCGAATGGTTGGCGGTTTGAGTCACGTCACGGCACTGTGTTGTATCTTTGAGTAAGAAACTATACTCCGCTTGTTCCAGTCTACTCTGTTGTAAATGAGTACGTGATTCGGCAGTGCTAGAAAATTGACTGCTAGCTGTGAGCGCCGGTATGGCAGCACCGGCTGAATGCTCCCCAGGGAGTTGAGGAAGATATTGCTGGTTCCAAGGCCCCATAACCACGGATAATAAGTTGTGAACCGCTTGAGACGACCTACGAACTAGGTTGTAATAAAGCGTTATGTAAGAACCTCGAAATATTATTATCATTATTATTATTGTGCTTTCGCCATACCAGGTATTTTGGGGGTCATGATTTCAAGGATTTTATTAGGATATATGACTAAATCTACTATTTAGGGGATAGTACGTTGTTTTGAGTGGCTATACTGGCGACTAGAACATGAAATTTGGGTTTGAACTCCTGACCGATAGGTCGAGTGTTTAAACCAAATTTCATGTTCTAATCGCCAGTATAGACACGAAAAGCAACGTACTATCCCCATTCTAACACACCTTAACAAATATACTACGCTAATATGTTTAGAAACATTGTATTTCCTTGTTCGAAAGTACTTTGTGAGCTGAACTGGCGACGTTTCATTCTGCAGCGGACTGACCAATCGGAAAGAAGCTTTCAAAAGTCGGTCATTTAGCCCCGCCCATACTGGCGAGAGCCCGATCTGTATGTTGACGAGCCGGAATATTTGGATTGTTCGTGAACGTCCGATTACCAAATTTTATACGACATATTCGGATTACTATTGAACAAGTTCATACATGTACATGTCAGTATGCATACCAATATGTGCTTATCGACAAAATCGGTGATTATTTGTATAGATTTGTGAAGAGTTTTGTGTAAATGCATACGACACATGTGAAATGTTTCATTTGATTTGGGATCTAAATAGGTTATATGCCTTCACACGGATGGAATGAACGTTTCAGTAATAAATGGAGGTAAGACCAATGAATGAGTACTTTTTACTTTTTAATTCATTCAACAAATACATTTCATCGGTCGTTTACTTTCTGTTCTGTTGCCTGCTAGCCTTATCAGCGGGATTTCGCTAAGAGGCGAGCTTGACGCCATATTGTTTCGGTTAGAAACGGGGCGTGGCTTAAGTGCGATGGCAGGAGCTTAACACGATTGATCATGATTCTATCGCAGATTAGAACATGGTCCGTATCCAATCAAAACACGCGTTGCAAACGAATCGTGTTAGAATGTTTGGTGATCCTAGCTATGTCTATAATTAGCGGGTAGTTCGGACACCAAATATATCCTTTTTGGGTAAACAAAAGTAACAAAAGTGCGATACCGATGCAATCACTGAACCAGGCTTGGAGAGATAGACACACAAATGACCGGCTTCGAATCGTAACGGGAATAATATTCCAAGAAATGTTATGGTGATGAGAACGTCTTTACTTCCAAAATAATACCTATTGTGGCACTCGCTCTCTCGCAACGCGATATCGCAAGTAATATACGTCCCCGTCTACGAGGAAATGGCCACACGATCGCCCACCGTATATAGTATCTCAATCAATGTGTGACGTCATACGGTCCTTGATCTAGCGATGCCCCGATACGACTGCACGTAGCGGCGAACATGTCCGTCCCCCGTGGTTAGCCCATATAAATGTAATTCTTGATTCCATTATGGGATCTGCCACCAAACAAAATAGCGTTCGATTCTACCGTATTCCTCAGTGTCCTGTGGGACCATTCATCATAGAAAATTGGTGTAACTTTCTTAAGCAAATGTATTTCCGGAACCGTCATGACCCAGGGGACGTAACTCTGTCCGAAGTGTAGGTCTGAATTTTAAGCATTACTGTGAAGTATCCCGCTCTTTGTTATGTTAGCGTCTGGTCACATTCTAATATGCTTTAAATGATGTATCAGCAGAAAAGTATCACCATCTTTTCAGTGAATAAACATATCGTTACCCTTTTACAGGAGGAATGTGCATGCAGTTTAAAAGTTCGAACTCACAAATTTAATTTGATTGCCTTAAATAGGAGAGTGGGCATGATTTGAAGTGTTACAGACAATCAAAGGAGTGTAATAAATGTGCAACTTCTGCTGTTTTACAGCT